ATCATGTAAGCAACATAATTCAAGAAATTAAAGAGAGAGATAAAGAAATGTACATTGGGGCTTCTTGGATTTCTTGGAAATTGCATGAGACGCTTCATCTCCCGAGCTCATCGTGAATATATAAGAAAAATAATTATATGTACATATGTGGGTGTTCTTTTAGAGAGAGAGAGAGATTAACCAGGTAGAAAGATAGAAAATTTCTGGAGAAATGTGTATATATAGAGCTAATGTTAGGAATTTGGTACACGGTCCCAAAAACCAAACGGGTTAGGCGAATTTCACTCCCTTGCAATATGCATGTGCTTCCCTAAGAAAGAGTCCAATCTTTCTTCTACGTTTTTCAATCGAATGGTCTTCATTTAGTGGGATTAAGCGTCAATTCTACTAAAATGGAAAGTTGCACTATTAATCTCCAATACAGTGGATCGGTTGCAAATTTGTCCCTATTGTAATTGTTCTTGTATTAAGCTCCACAACCTTAAGGGTTTTGATGTGGCATTAATCCTTGCGCACGAAAACAGTTCAAAAATAGCACCTTGCCACGTGAGCAACACGTGAGGCATTTTCGTCCTCAAATTCCAACCATCATTTCACTCTATTTTGTAAAGTTCACTGGTGTTTCTATCCATACTTTTAAAGTCTACAATAGTATTGCATAATAAGACGCACTGAGAGAAGGAAGATACATGAATAGCAAGACAGAGACAAAAAATTATTTCTACACGTAAACTTTATATGTCTCTATAATACTTGATCCTTGAAACTATAAATAACAAAAAAAAAAAAATACAAATAAAAGCACAATAATGGAACAGGAAGACAATTGGGAAGACTTATATTTTAGGGGTTGATTTGCACTGATCTGAATCTTAAGGGGGGTAATGTAAATAACATTTATAAAAACCAAAGAACTAGGTATTCCGTAATATATAATGAATTTTGCTACATGTACATCAACATTTACATAATGAATTACGTAATGCCATGCGACAATCAGTCATTTGTCATTTTAAAATACAATCAAAATTTTCATTTAATTTTTTCCTATGCACCATACTAATCCATTATTTACGTTAGCAAACCCCTCCTTGAACTACTCACCAATGTCACCATTAGAAAGCAGGGGCGGACCTAGGGTCGGGGGTCACGTGCCCCCAACTTTTGATTTTTTTTTTTAAATATATAAAGTCATATTTGATATCGATTGAAATCTAAATCAAAGTTAACAATTAATTTTAATAACATATTTCATGGAATCCATAACTATTTAACTTTTATCAAATTTACTAAAAATTTGATTTTAATCTCCATCAAACATGGGCAAAATCACAATAAATTTTAATTTTGTGTTCTCTCGCCTTTTAACAAAATCTTAACTCTTCATCAAACAAGAGCGAAATATTGCATTCTTAATACCATTTCGAAGTGTTCATGGTCTAATTTTCTACGTTGTTAATGACATACGAAACGATCAATCGTAGCAAATACTACGACTTGTCAAAGTAAGTTATTCAAAATTAGTATTTCGAAAATTTCGATAACATGTTAACTTTAGAAAAATTTCGACGATCGTACACTAATCGAATCTACAAATTGTTTGTGTCATCTCAAAATTTATTTCGAGAACTAGATTATAGGCAAATCGAAAAATCCAAACAGATATAGAAAATAGTTAAACATGCGTTAAACGTGAGTTTTAAAAAAAAGACGTCTAACTCGCATTTGCTTTAAAAAAATCAATTATTTCATTAACATTTATTATTTTTGCAGTACAAATTTCTCAATGTAATTTTCATCATTTTATTAGGAAATTTTGTATGAAATATGACATAAAAATTTTTCAAAATTTTATATTTGAAAAAATCATATCCCATGTAAATTTTCGAATGTAAAATTACATGAGATATAATTTATTTGGACGTAAATATTCGAATGTAAAATTGATTTTGCCCCTTTAAACTTGTGCGTCCGCCTATCTGTCGGTGCTCTCTCTAATTTCCTTTTAATCCGGTATCATTTACTTCTGTCCATCCACGTCAAACTGTTCTGCTCCTTCGGCGACGATTCTATTTGGGTTCATCTCCGGCCGTCGGAAGGAAAATATTCCGGCTCCAGTACCGTCAGATCACCTACCTTCATTACACACACAATTATGAATCCCGAATAGTA